TAAAGCGTATATATATATATATATATGTACGAAGTGTTGTATCTGCTTACTTATATACAAAGGCATAAATTAATAAACAAATTAAATATCCTTCTTTAGAAAAAAAAATAGATATGTAACACATATATGTTTATATATATATATATAAACATATATATACATATAAACATATATATATATATATATATGTTTATATATATATATATATATATATGCTTATATATATATATATAAACATAAACATATATATAAGCAAATATACACATATAAATCTAGCGCCTAGGGCCTTCTACACGTTATTATATCTTCCGTCGTAGATACAGCATAAACATTATATGCTGCACATCCTGCTGCTGCTGCTGCTGCTGCTGCTATTGCGGCACGCGCTGCTCCAGCCTGGCAGCTGCAGCAGCAGCAGCAGCAGAGCAACAAACGCAGCTGTAACATAAGCACGTCTGCAGCAGCTGCAGCAGAACATCAAACTCCGCTGCTCACGCAGCAGCACTAAGTGCCCACTGACGCGCTGCGGCTGCAGCAGCAGCAGCAAAGCTGGCTGCTGCTGCAGCAGCAGAAGCAGCAAAGCTCACTGCTCCGGCATGTTGGTCGCCTCCAGGAGAGAGAGAATATGCAAACGCCTTTCAAACAGAGACTGCAGCAGCAGCAGCAGCAGCAGCAGCACGAGCAGCAGCAGCAGCAGCAAAGGAATAAATATTTTAAAAGCCACAGGTAAAGTGCCTGCTGCTCTGACAAACAGCAGCAGCAGCTGCCGCTATTTGCAATAACAGCAGCAGCAACGGCAGAAGCAACAGCAGCAACAGTAACAGCTGCAGCCGCAACAACAGCTGCAGCAAGAGCTGCAGCTGCAGCAGCAGTAGTAACAACACTAACAGCAGCGCCAGCAACAGCAGCACAAATAGCAACAGCAGCAGCAACACCAACACCAGCAGCAGCAGCAGCAGCAGCAGCAGCAACAGCAGCAACAGCAGCAGCAGCAGCAGCAACAGCAGCAGCAGCAGCAGTCTAACCTTGGCCCGAAGGTCTGCTATGTTCTGCTCCACCATCGCTCTTCTGCGCGCACATCGCAGACCCTAAACCCTAAACCCTAAACCCTAAACCCTAAACAATACACCCTAAGCAATGAGCAATAAACAATAAACGATACGCAATAAACCCTAAACCCTAAATCCTAAACCCTAAATAATAAACCCTAAACCCTAAACCCTAATTTACTCTGTGGTGATTTCCTGCTGCTGCAGCAGCGCCTTCCTCGCTGCGTCGAAGGCCTCAAACTTTGAACGACAGATCTCCGAGCGCCGCTGCAGCAGCAGCAGCAGCAGGAGCAGCAGCAACAGCAGCAGTACAGGAGCAAGCGTGAATGTCGGGGCAGCAAAGCGAGTACAACGAGAGAAGAGCAGCAGAGAGAGCAGCAGCAGCAACTCTGGAGAAGCGGAAGCTGCAGCAGCAGCAACAACGGCAACCGCAGCAGCAGCAACCGCAGCAACAGTAACCGCAGCGACAGCAGCAGCAACAGCAGCAGCAACAGCAGCAGCAGCAGCAGCAACAGCAGCAGCCCACTGCATGCGTCTCCATTCGGTTCTCCTTCAGGCATCGCAGATACGCCACGCCTGCAGCAGCAAAGTAGCAGCAACCGCAGCAGCAGCAGCAGCAGCAGCAAGATCAGCAGCAGCACAAAGCTTCCCAGCAGCAGGAGAGGCAGCAATTGAGTGACAGCAGCACACACTGCCCCAGCAGCAGCAACTGCAACAGCAGCAGACGCAACTGCAGCAGCATCTGCAGCAGAACCAGCAGCAGCAGCAGCAGCAGCAGCCGCACCAGGAACGCATGCAGGGTTCTCCAGATCCGCAGCTTCTCTAAACATCTTCATGTACATATCCGCCTGCAGCAGCAGCAGCAGCAGCAGACACAAACAACAGCGTGCAACCTTGCACCGTAGAAGCAGCCTGCAGCAGCAGAAGCTTCTGCTGCTGCAACAGCAGCTTCTGCTGCTGTTGCAGCAGCAACAGTCAGCTGCACAACAACAGCAAACACTGCAGCAGCAGCAATCGGTACAGCAGCAGCGACTGCAGCAGCAAGAAAAAGCGAAACAGCAACCAAAATAGCAGCAGAAACACAAGTAAGTGCAGCAGCAGCAGCAGAACTCAATGCGGCAGCAGCAGCAGCAGCATACCTTCATTTCTCTCGCATCAACGCTAAGAGCATCTTCCAGCTTCGGCTGCAGCAAACGCCCAGAGCAGCTCCTCCGTCACACTCACAGCAGCAGCAGCAGCACCAGCAGCAACAGGAGCAACAGCAGCAGCAGCAACGGCAGCAGCAGCAACAACAACAGCAGCAACAGCAGCAACAGCAGCAAGCTGCACACCTCGCCGTTGACAAGATCTATCCAAAGGGCCCTTTGAGCGTCTGGAAGTGCAGCAGCATTAACAGACAAACCGACAAAGTTGTGTCGCTGCAGCAACGCATGCAGCGCTCGGTGGCGCTGCAGCAGCAACAACAGCAACAACAGCAGCAGCAGCAGCAACAGCACATGCAATGGTATCATTTCCCCCTAAGGCAGTGTGGGCTTGAGGAAATGCCGTGCAGCACCCACTGCTGCTGCTGCTGCTGCTGCTGCTGCTCATGTATCAGGCAGCCACCCACCAGCAGCAGTAGCAACAGCAGCAGCAACAGCAGCAGCAGCAGCAGCAGCAGCACCAGGAACCACAGTACGAAGAGCAACAAGAGAAAAAGGCCAACGCCAGCAGCAGCAACAGCAGCAACTACAACAACAGCAGAGGCACCGGCAGCAGCAGCAGCAGCAGCAACAAGAACAGCAGCAGCAGCAGCAGCAGCAGCAGGAGTGGCATAAGGGATTTGTTGGGTGTATCATGCTCAGCATGTCTGAGGTGTATAGGCAGCATGCAGCCTCACCTCTAGAGCTACCTTTCTATTTAAGAACCAGTCTTTTAACTCTCTATCTACTGCATGCAGCTCTTGCTGCAGTGTCTCTGCAGCAAGCTGCCGCCTGTCAACCGGAGAGGCGACGACCCCAACGCCAGCAGCAGCAGCAGCAGCAGCAGCAGCAGCACCAAACGCCCGCGGCAAACCCACAAAACCCCACGCCATCTGCAGCAACAGCAGCACACAAACGTGCAGAGAACAGCTGGAAATGTTGCAGCAGAAAACAAAGCAGCAGCAGCAGCAGCAGCAGCAGCTATGGCAACAGCAGCAGCGGCTGCAGCAGCTACGGCAGTAGCAGCAGCAGCGGCTGCAGCAGCTACGGCAGTAGCAGCAACAGCAGCAGCAGCAAGGAGACAAAAGGCTGAGGAAATCAAGACACAAACAGCAGCAACTGCACAGGCAGATAAACGAAAAGGAGACAACCAACTGCTGCTGCCGCTGCAGTACTGCTGTTGCTGCAGTTCCTGCTGCTGCTGGCTGCTGAGAGCGACGCAAGAAGTAAATGTCGTTACTGTTGCAGCAGCAGCAGACACATTAACACCAGCAACAGCAGCAGCAACGAAGTACCCTGAGCAGCAAAGAAGGCAGCTAGAATGCTCCGTCGTCGGTGCCGATCTGCTGCTGCTGTTGCTGCTGTTGCTGCTGCTGCTGCTGCTGCTGCTGTTGTGGTTGAGCTTTGTGTTGTTAATGCCGGTGCTGCAGTCCTTCCTGCTGCTGCTGTCACACCTTCACCTTAGCAGCAGCAACTCTATGTGTAGCGCTGCTACAGCTACTGCTGCTGCTGCTGCTGCTGCTGCTGCCGTTGTTGCTGCTATTGCTGTTGCAGCTGCAGCGTAATCAATAGTAAGGTTATTGTTGCTGTCTCTCTTAAACTTATTTTAATGGTGTCTGGATCGCTTACTTTGAAGACATCTTTGCTGCCGCTGCTGCTGCAGCAACAGCAGCCGCAGCAACAGCCCCCTCTGCTGCGGCTGCTGCTGCGGCTGCATGCGCTGCTAATGAGGGAAGTAACAGCATCCTTTTTTCGTTTCTTTTTGTTATTGCCTGTTATTAATTTACTATTTAATCTGTACTCTGTGGAGGGCGGAGCAGCAACAGCAGCAGCAGCAGCAGCAACGGCAGCTGGAGCAGCAGCAGCACCCGCCGCAGCAACAGCAGCAGCTACAGCAACAGCGTGTGCTGCAGTAGCAGCAGGTTTATTTGAATTATGTGTATGAACATAGCAGCAGCATCAGTTGACCAGCAGCAGCAACAGCACGAACAGCAGCAACAGCAGCATTAACAGGCGAAGCAGGAACAGCAGCAGCATTATAATCAGCAACAGAATAAACAGCAGCAACAGCAGCAGCAGCAGCAGGGAGAATGACTGCTGCAGGATCAGTTTCAAGCGGCAGCAGCAAGGATTTTGCTGCTGCTTCCGAGTCGTCTGCAGCAGCAGCAGGAGGAGGAGCAGGAGCAGCAGAATTGATTACGCTTAGCTTAAATATATCTTTAACAGCGCATGCATTAGGCGAAGCAAACGGCATTAAACACTCAGACTTCACTCGCTATCGTCTGTACTTGTCGCGAAAACTCTCTAGACTTCGTCAGCAGCTCAATATCAAACACGGACGCAGCAAATACACCCCAAAGCCTCTTCCTGACTGTATTCAAGATAATAGGTAAGAAGATATATATTTTATTATTATCTTTGCGTTATCTTTTATTATTATCTTTTAACTATCTTTTATTATCTTTTATTATCTTTATCTTTTATTATCTTTATCTTTTTATTATCTCTAACTTTTTATTATCCTTTTTCTTATCTTTTTATTATATTTTATTATCTTTTTACTATCTTTTATTATCTTTTTATTGTCTTTTCATTGATTATCTTTTTATTATCTTTTGTTTATCTTTTGATTATAATTACTACTAATTTAGTTTTAGTTTTAGTAATAATAAATAATAATAAAGACGTAAATATATTTTTTTCATAGTCGTAGTTTATGTGGTATTCGTCTTCGGCCCAGTGCTGCTGCTGCTGCTGCTGCTGCTGCTTCACCTTTTGCTGCTGCTGCTCGTGCATGTTTTGCTCCTGCTGCTGCAGCCATCGTTGACGGGCTGCTGCTGCGGTTGTGTTGCTGCGGCTGTGTTGCTGCTGCTGTTGTAGTGCTCTTGCCCGTGTTGCTGCTGCTGCTGCTGCTGCAGGTTTTTGCTGCTGCTCTTGCTGCAGGCCGAGCGAGCTTGGGCCTACGGCATGCAGCTGAAGAGCGACAACGCAAACACCTTAACACCGGTACAGTGCTGCTGCTGCTGTTGCTGCTGCTGCTGTTGCTGCTGCTGCTGCTGAGCTTTATTGTTGGTTGTGTCTCTGTTGCAGTCAAACTTTGCTGCTGCTGCCTCTACCGAAACGATGTGCTGCAGTATGTGTCTCTCCCCCTCTATTATTTATGAGATCCTCTTTGCTGCGACTGCTCTTGCTGCTGCCTTTGCTGCTGCTACCTTTGCTGCTGCTGCTGCTGCTGCTGCTGCTGCTGCTGCTGCTGCTGCAGAATGCGAGTTTGCGGGCGCATTCAATTCGGCGTTTTTCTAAGGCGGTGTTTTATGCTCGTCAACTCGAAGCAATATGCAAATCACAACCCGCTAAAGAGACACAGGAAGCAGCAGCAGCAGCAGCAGCAGCAGCAGGGACGCAGTCTGGAGAGGCCGCCGGCACTGCAGCAGCAGCATCAGCAGCAGACGCAGCAGCAGAAGGAACAGGAAAGACCTTGTGCGACGGGAAGACGTGTCTAGATGCTGCAGCATATCGCTGCTTTATGGAGTCGGTGCTGCTGCAGGAGAAGCAGCAATGGGCAGCAGCAGCAACAACGCTGCAGCAGCTGCAGCAGCTGTATATACAGCTCAAACACCTCAGCAGCACCCAACCAGAATCAGAGCAGCTTTATAAAAAAAAGTTAGAGGCACTTGAGCCGCTGCTGCGCCTCTGTGTCTTTCACTCTGGAGATATCCGTGCTGCTGCGCTGCAGCAGCACCAGCAGCAGCAGCAAGCGGGCGACAGCAAAAAGCGAGCAGCAGCAGCAGCTGCTGCTGCTAGCAGCAGCAGCAGCAACTCCGGCTGTGTCGCCGTGTGGCGAGGCGTCCCTGTACACCCCAAGAGAGAGAAACCGAGAGCAGCAATTGCTGCAGCACTTGCGAACTGGCAGCAGCAGCAGCTGCTGCCAGTTGAAACCCTGCGCGCTCTTGCTGCTGCTGCTGCTGCAGCAACAGCAGCAGCAGACATCACAGCAGCAGCTCCAGCACTCATGGAAAGAGATGCCCAGGGATGGGCAGAACAGTACGCCAGACGCTGCTGTTGTTGCTGCTGCTGCTGCTGCTGCTGCACTAGCTGCCACAGCTGTGGCTTGCTGCTGCTGCATTCGCTGCTGCTGCTGCTGCCGCCGCATGATTTGACGGTGCTGCGGCTGTTGCTGCTGCTCTAAGTTGCTGCTGCTTGACCTTGGCTGCTGCCAGGACCGCAGCTGGGGCTTGCTTCTGCTGCATTTGCTGCTGCTGCTTCTGCTGCTGCTGCTGCTGCTGCCCCACAGATACGGCGAGGCCTCTGCGCGTTTCCGCGGCTGCGTAGAATTAATACACAAGGAGCTGATGGTAAGATGCATTTGCTGCTGCTGTTGCTGCTGCTGCTGCTGCAGTAGCTCCTGCTGCAGTTGCTCCTGCTGTAGGCGCCGCTTCCTGATCTGCGCTGGTGCTGCTGCTGCTGCTGCTGCTGCTGCTGCAGGCAGAGCCAGAAGAGGCGTCGTGGCTGCAAGCTCAGGGTATGTAATTGCGGCTAGGCTGCTGCTGCAGCAGCAGAAGTAGCAGCTACCGAGCTTGCTGCAGCAACTACAGCAACAGCAGCTATGAACGCCTCAGCGGGTGCCGTTGCAGTATTCTTAGCAGCAGCTGCTGTTGCTGAAGGTGCTGCTGCTGCTGCTGCTGCTTTAGTTATTGCTTCACGTGTTGCTGCGGCGCTCACAGTTGCTGCGACAGCCTTCCTGCTGCTGCTGCTGCTACTGCTGCTGCTGCTGCAGGCCTTTGTATGGATATGAGCCGATGCCTGGAGGTAGAGAGGGACGCGCTGATGCTGCTGCGGTGTCTCCTCAGCCTTGCTGCTGCTGACGGTTGGTCGTGCTGCTGCTGCTGCACCCACTGTTGCTGCTGCTGCATCAGTTGTTGCTGGTGCTGCTGTAGCGTCAGGAAAAGGCACTAGAGAGTTGCTGCTGGGGCGCCACATGTTGCTGCATGAGCGGCATTTGCTGCTGCTGCCTGCTGTTGCTGCTGCAGCTGATCTTAAAGGAGGCCGGGAGCAGTCGCGAGCGCAGGAGGGATATCGCTTTGCTAGCCTTCTGCTGCAGGTGCGCTGCTGCTGCAGCATGTGCTGCTGCTGCACCTGCTGCTGCTGCTGCTGTATGTGCTGCTGCTGCTGCATTTGTTGCTGCTGGTGCATTCTATTCCCTTAGCTGCCTCGCTTTCGTTGTTGTTCGTCTGCTGCTGCAACTGCTGCTGTTGCTGCTGCTGTTGCTGCTGCTGCTGCTGCAGGGTCTAGAGCGCATGCAAGGAGAGGATTCACTTCCTGATGATCGCCGGCCGCAGCTGCAGCGATGGGTGCAGGTGGCTAAGGACAGCAAGTATGTGCAGCAGCAGCAGCAGCAGCAGCAGCCGCAGCAGCAGCAGCACCAGCAGCAGCACCAGCAACAGGAGGTTGTGTGGGGTTTACCTGATTGTTTTTGCGGTGTATGTACACTGTACTGCATGCAGAGCAACCTGCTTAGCTACGGCAATTGCATGCGATGGGAAGCTATCAGAGGCATTCGGTTAGCAGTACTTGCTGCTGTTGCTGCTGCTGATGTTGCTGCTGGTTGGGGTGCTGCTGATGCTGCTGCTGCTGGCTCGTGACGCCTTCATGTTTGGCTTGCTGCTTCGGTCTTGCTTCTTCTTTTTCTGGTGCTGCTGCTGCACGGTGTTCCTGCTGCTGCTGTAGTGTTGCTGCTGCTGCTGGAGCGCTGCTGCAGCTACTGCAGCATCTGCTGCACTGCTTCCTTGCTGCTGTTTTCAGTCTTAGCGCGGGCTGTATCAACGCGACAGGCCACGTGGGCACTTAAAGCAGATGTGAGGGGGCTGCTGCTGCTGCTGTAACTGCTGCTGTTGCTGCATCTGCTGTTGCTGTTGCAGCACCTGCTGTTGCTGCTACTGCACCTGCTGTTGCTGCACCTGGCGTAGCTGCTGCTGCTGCTGATTTTAATCTGTGTGGTGTTTTGCGGTGTACGTGCAGCTGCGAGACGATCCGCACGAACGCATCGATTTGCTGCTCGCGGCAATCCATGTACAGTCAAATTGCTGCTGCTGTTGCTGCTGCTGCTGTTGCTGCTGCTGCTGAGAGACATGCTGCAGCTGCTGAGACAAATACTACTGCTACCGGCGCAGCTGTTACTCCTGCTTCGATGCAACTGCTTTTGCTGCTGCCGCCGTTGTTGCTGCTGCTGTTGCTGCTGCGCCATGTGCTGCTGCTTGTTTGCGGTTGGCTGCTGCATGCATTTTGCTGCAGAAGACGACAGCACTGGCGGTGGGGCAGCGCGTCTGCCGCTACCTCTGCGCTCTTCTACGGAGTGAGGCTTCTCTAGGGTTTAGGGTTTAGGGTTTAGGGTTTAGGGTTTAGGGTTTAGCGCTTGGGGCCTAGGGTTTAGGGTTTATGGTTTGTTATTTGAATTATTGGCTGCTGCGGAAGCAGCTCGGGTTTTGATGTGGGGTGCTGCTGCTGCAGCAGCAGGACTTGTGCTGCCTTTGCTGTTGCTGCGTCTGTTTTGCTGCTTCTGCAACCCCTGTTGCTGCTGCTGCTGTTGCTGCTGCTGTTGCTGCTGCTGCAGAGACCCAAAATCTCCCCTGTTCTGCTGCGGGTGTCTTCGGACCTCGCGAAGCTGCTGAAGACACTGAACAAACATCGCTGCAGCAACAGGTGCCACGCTGCTGCTGCTGCTACTGCTCTCGCTGCTGCTGCTGTTAGTGCTCTTGTTCTTGCTGCTGCTGCAGCACAAGGAGCGCCTGCTGGAACAGCGGCTGTTGTTGCTTCTGTTGCTGCAGCGTAGCTTATGTGAGTTGAGCCGCACTCATTGCTGCTGCTGCTGCTGCTGCTGATACTGTTGTTGTTGTTGCTGCTGCTGCTGTTGGTTGCTGCTGCAGCTGCAGTCCACTGTCGGGCGTTTGCTTCTGCCTGCTGCTGAGCCAATTGGATGCAAACCCCACCTCTTCGATCTCGTAAGACACCCCACACATACACCCCAGCAGCAGCAGCAGCAGCAGCAGCAGCAGCAGCAGCAGCAGCAGCAGCAGCAGCAATGTTAACACCACGATAGCTAGCAGCTCCAACACCACCAACAGTACAAACAGCAGCAGCAGCAACACAACAAGCATAGCAATATAAGCAGCAGCAAAACCAGCAGCTTCAGCACAACCAGCAGCAGCAGCACAACCAGCAGCACCATCAGCACAACCAGCAGCAGCAGCACAACTAGCAGCAGCAGCAGCAGCATGTTTTATGTGTGCATGCAGGCGATATCTGCTATGAGGCCGCCCGATTTGTCGGTTAGAAGCGGCAGCGCCAGCAGCAGCAGATTAGGGGGTCTCCTTCGCTCTCTGTGGAGACGCTGACTGTCTCTTGTTCTTTTTATATTATTGTTTAGTTAATAACTGTCTCTCTCTATCTCTTCTTTTTATTGTTTAGTCTCTCTGTCTGTCTGTCTCTTTGTTTATTCACCGTCTCTCTGTCTTCTCTTTATTTTATTTATTATTTACTGTCTCTCTTGCTGTCTCTCTTTGTGTTGTTTGCTGTCTCTGTCTCTTCTTTTATCTGTATCATTAGCTGTCTCTTTTGCTGCCTCTGTGTATAATTAGCTGTCTCCTTTGCTGTCTCCCTTTGCATTTCTTGCGTTGCTTTACTTCCTGCTGCTGCTCCAGCAACAGCCTGCTGCTGCTGCTGCAGCTTGCTGCTCCTCTTGAAAACAAGTGTGCGACACGCAGCAGCAGCAGCAGCAGCAGCAGCAGCAGCAGCAGCAGCAGCAGCAGCACAGTGTCCATCGACTGCGTTGCATTTCTTCGGTTTTATTTTCTGTTTTTTTCTCCCAGTGCATTTAACTAATTTACACCTCAACGCCTCATCTGGATTCAAAGACAATTTATATTTATAATATATATTAGATAATTATATTATAATATAGTATATATAATATATATATGTCTATATATACATCTATATATAGACATATGGACACTGATAGGTAAATATATATATATATATATATATATATATATATACATAGACATACAGATACTTATATATAAAAGTATCATTTTTATAATATATATATATATATATAGATA